AGAAGTAGTAGTAGTAGTAGTAGTAGTAGTAAGTAAGTAAGTAAGTAGTAAGTAATAATAATAATAATAATAATAATTATTTTTTTTTTTTCTCTAATAAATCGGTGGGGGGAAAAAAAAAATTACATCCTGCTATTTTACAAACCCACCCTGCAGTAGAGTAATTATTTAAAGTTGCAACCCACACCCAAAAGCAAAAATAATTAATAAAAAATCACTTCGTATTAAATGAAGAAGAGATTATGATAATGTTTTTATACCAGATGCTTTGTGGTACGCTCTTCACAGTCCTACGCATGAAGATGCGGCCTCCATAGGCTCCAACCTTCTTGGCAAGCTCACTCTGCGGCTTCAGCACGGTTTGCCCAGCAAAGCTCGAGCTTTGAATTGCCGAAGCCGCCATTGAATTCTAATGAGAGCAAGAGCTAAAAACAGCCAGATGTTGCGGCCTAGTGTTAGATGGGGGTCATACGAAAACTGTAACGTTGCAGTGTTTATATAAGGGGGGTGGGCTGATGACGTGGATATTATCTCCACGTCAGCGTCCTCGCATTGGCTGAAACACAGGCAAAGGATTCTCGTGAGATCTCCTGTGATCCAGATATGATGGCTCTAGACTTGCCACGTGTCATTATCGTTGTCATGGGCCCTACAGTGGTTTGCTAGCCACGAAAAAATGAGCCAATGATGCCTACGTCAAATGGAAATATTACGTAATACCCGCTCCGCAATTTTAATGACCAACCATCCGATTTAAAATATGATGGACGAATAATTGTGACCTCTTTGTATAAAAACTAAATCGTCTATTTGCATGCTTTTTTTTATCATAATAGTAGTGTTTCAAAATCTATATTAGTAGGAGGATCGTTCACCTCACAAATTCATGATGAATTATTGGATTGACAATCTACATAGGTATGAATCAAATCGGTGATTCAAAAAATATTATAAGTAAAAATAAGATAAAAATTAAACTAAGAGTTTATGAGAAGGAAATTTATGGGGACCTAGAAAAACATTAAATAAGTTTTAAAAAATGTTAGGGTTTTACGGGAGAATCGAGTCAGGATAGATAACATCCTGGAACTAGCTCGGTTCGTGCTAATTCCCCATCTTGATCGGCAATTTGAATCACAAATCACCATGCTTAAAAACACTGGACATGAAAGATGAGATACACAACACAAATTCAGCATGAGTTATGTGCATAGTAGTGTATTCTCCCTTTCTCTACCTAATGTTTCAAACCTTTCTGTAAGGGTTTTAATCTCTCTTTCTCGGATGTTTATTGTTGTTAAAATTTGATCGAAACGACTAGTCCAACTAATCAGATTGTTAATTGCTGCCTAGGTCAATTGGTCGAAAGCACGAAGTTTGGATTGCTTGACTGATACCCCAGTGTGGTTTTTTAGGATTGATTGACTGATACCCCAGTAACTTCATGTGCATAGTAGTGTATTCTCCCTTTCTCTACATTTAGATGTGTTTTGTTTAATTTTATTTTAAATATATTATTTTTATTTTTTGGATTTTTTATATTTTATTGTTATTTTATTTGGCCTGGCCCGAGTGGTGGTTTCAAGCACTCCTCCTACCTTTTAAGTAGGGAAAGGAGTTTTTGATGGTCATATTACTTGTGTGCTTAGAGTTGGTGATTTTGATTTCAAGTGATCTTTTAAAAAACTTGAGCTTGTAGATGGCAGATATGTTGAAGCTATTAATTCGAATTGCAATGTTCCTAAATGACTCTATTCAGTCCGTTGGGAATGGAGTACCTCGTGATCTTCTGATCTTCATGACTCTTGTTGCAGCAATCGCCATGTTTCTGCCTTTAAAAAATCCTACGGTCCACAATTGCTGTGATCCGATTCTAAGAAGGGAAGTATCAACTTCCATTTTTTATGAAATATGACTTTAAAAAAGCATAAAAAAATTAGAAGGTAATAGTTATCTTGCATATCCAAGGAAACCATTAATGGAGAATCAATTAAGAGTTCACACATCATGCTCCCGGAGTATATTGTACATTTTTTTTAATGTGAAATTTTGATATCCTCATTATTATCACTACAGAAAAGAATTGGATTTTAATTACCTAAATGTTAATATCTAACCATCTAAAAATTGGACATTCTTTATTCAATATGAAGACATTTTCTTAAGCCTCAAGAGTTTTATTTTTGAAGTTGGTGAGGTTACATCCTCAAATTTCATTGTACCAAAAATGCTTCTAGATAAGGTTTTAAATGAAGGATTGGATGTTCAAAATAGTCCTACAGTAACACACAACCTTTTAACACTACATATACCCAAAAAACAAAGAAAAAAAAAGGAAAATTCATAACCTAATCTTACCAATTTTACTTAAAAATAGAAATCCCATTGCATCAGATACATAAAGTGTGGTTCTTAATAGAGCAAAATGACGAATCAAGATTCGCATAGCCGACCTAATTATATGAAAAAAGGCTTTTACATGAAATGTGATTCTTAATAAAGCAAAATGGCGAATCAAGATTCGCATAGCCGACCTAATTATATGAGAAAAGGCTTTTACATGAAATGTGGTTCTTAATAAAACAAAATGACGAACCAAAATTCGTATAACCAACACCAATTATATGAGAAAAAGCTTTGACGATGATAACGACATAGCATCAAATATCCTAAATAAAATAGAGAAAGAGAGAATAATTTGGATTTGTATAGGTACAAGGAGAGAGAGCTTTAGGGGAGATAAGATGTTTGGGTTTGGAGAGAGAGAGCATAATTGGCTTTACACACAAAAAGAGAGATCGGTGGAGCCAAACGTCATACAGAGAGAGACCAGTAGGAATGACGTTATGCGGAGAGAGGGAGGCATTTCTACAGTGGAAAAAGAGATATTTAAGCCCTGTTTGAATCCACACAAAAAATAATAGCATAGAAATAACTCTCTTGTAAAATATATTTCTTTCAAAAATTGTTTCTTGTGAAATAAGTTTTTAATTTGCAGCTAACATCTGAATACCACGGGGACGATAGACCGGACAAAGTGCCAAACCTAGATGGCACAATAGAATTCCTTTTATGTTCTTTCCCTTTGTTATCTAAGCATAAACACACACATGGGCTGGGTCGTGGTGGTAGCACCCCCATACCTAGTCACAATGTTCTAATCCGGCTAACACCACCTATTGACACTTCCAAAAAAAGCTAACTCTCGAATCTAAATAAAAAACGGGTAGAGGCATATCTTCCCCACTGAATTACCAGGAAAAAAAATGCATGGGGCACACATTTGCTGCATCGAAGAAAATGTTTAGTGGATACCTCAAATTCTAGGGAAATAAATGCGAGAGAGAGAAGAGAGAGGAAAACAAAAACTATTCATCCACATTAAACATAAATCAATTGTTTTCTGGACTCATTTTTCTCCCTTTGAATAACAAAAATTAAATGGGATCCTCAAACCTCGTACAAGGAACTTGGATTTATCAAGTTATAGACAAAGCCACCAGTGTGTGTGTGTGAGAGAGAGAGAGAGAGAGAGAAGAGTGAGAGTACATATATATACCAATCCGAGAGCTCAATTTCCTGGTGCCTACTATTGCCAAACCATGATTTATTTCTTCATTCTTGCTCCTAACTTAGCCTCTCATCCCTCCACCTTGGCACATGTATAAAAGTTGCAGAGCATGATAACAGTATGAGAGCTCTTTCTTGCACCCACTCCTCGGGTTCAATGACCACAAAGCTAACCAAGAATAAAATCCTGACACATTATAACAATGTTCACAAGCCATAAAGTGGAAACAGACGATTTAACTCAAGCGAGTACTTGGTAAATTGAATAAAAGTTTCCAAACTTTATAAATTTAACTCCTAAAAAGAACACAAAAAGGCACAAGAGAAGAGAGAGATTCAAAAGCAGCATGGGATGGAGCTACCTTTTGCAACCATGAGACTCTGCTTCCAAACTGTGTTTACCCGCAGAGAGAGAGAGAGAGAGAGAGAGAGAGAGAGAGATACATTATCATTCTTCTTGCATGGCCAGATCCTCTTCATTTTCACCACCTCCAAACTTCCCCATAACAACTGCCATGAGCATCAACTTCCCTGCTTCTGGAAAATCAGGGTGCTGCATAATTATTGCCTCAACTGATGACCCTGGCTCCTTCATCTTCATAAAGTCAACATCCTCTTTCAACAAAGGCAACACTTCCTCAAATCCCCCGTCATAGGACTGAGCTTCAGGACCATAACACCGCTTCGAGGCTTGAAAAAGAACTGTATTTTTCACAAGTTGCAGGTTCTCCTCATCACTCCACCCTTCAGCTATAGCTGCCTTATAAGTAGTGGCCCAGTCATCTTGGCTAGCAGCACTCATCCAGCATTCTGAGAGGAGGGTTTTGTGGGTTTTACGAACAGGAGAGCTTGTCCAAGCAAACACATCAAAAGCTCGCAATATGAGCTCTCGGTTCCCACTCTTGAGGCATATTTCGATCAGTTCTTTTGGGTTCAGTAGCCTTTTCTCAAAATCACACAGGCCTTGGACCTCTTCCTACAGCACAAAAGCGATGGAATGGTGTGTGTAAAAAACAGCAAAAAAAAAAATCTCAACTCTGTTAGCATTGGGTCAATTCCCACGTCAGGGCACATGTCCAGTTAGTTTTGAGCCTCAATGAAGCATCAGAAGTCCTTTTTATCTTTTCTAAAGTTTGCACTAGGTGTCCTAAACACTCTAGGAAATCAAGAAAACCAAGTAAGCCAAAGTAAAACCTTCAAAATCTGCTAGCACTAACCAGTAGAGCCCTTGGTACTGGCCAAGCACAAATAAAAGGAAAGCCTAATCTAATGTATGAATTATTAAGGGAGAGAAGATGGACAAGTCAGATAATAGAATAGAAAGAGATCCTTAGATTTTATTATTTTGGGATTTCATTTGGAACAGCCAATGGATTTTTTCTAACTTTTGAGGAAATTCATCGATGGGACCATGAGAAATGGTGGAGCAAAGGGACAAACATAGAACATAGGCCAAAAAGATTGAAAAAGTATGGTATGCTCCGTTAATTGCTACAGGAATAATGGTCTAAATCGAAGTTGGAAGGGGAGTAGCAAGCTTACAGATCCCAAAACAGAAAAGAACCCTCTAAATGTTAGAAAGGGTAAGGGTGAGACTGAGAGAGTGGTTATCTGATTAAACTTGAGGAGACAAGTGGAAGGAAAAAAATAAGAAAATAAAAAAGAACAAGAAACAAAATTATTTATATCTGTCCCTAACTCTCATTCCAAAGCAGGAAGGTTCAGTGGGAGTCTAGGAGTGGAAAGCTAGTGCAAAGCAACAGCAAATTTTCATCCCTAAGGCGCAGTGTGGGGATGCTGGTTTTTTATTTCAATTTGAGGGATTCTGTGACTCCAAAGGTAATAAAGTCCTGGAAATTCAGAAGTCGGTATACTTAATAACATTATACCATCAGACTGATTTGGTAGCTTTAAGATAAACCTTATATCATAGAAGCAAGGTGCACCTCAAAAATCCAGTAGAAAAGAGTATTCCGAAGCTAAAAAACCTTCTAATTGATCATCTCGATTTTGAAATGTATGGATACAAAAAAAAAAAAAGAATTTCAAGACTTCAAAGTAGTGCATCTTGTAACAAGTTATCTGGTGTAACAAGTTATCTGGACTGTCTATTTTCAAGATTTTCAAGTGTTCATACATCTTTGCTTGATTTGCATAGTTATTGGAATTTTAAATTTCATAATTAGTTGAACATGGATTTTCAAGTCATCGTAAGGTTTCTAACACCAGAACTACATCTTCTGCCAAAATTTAGAGGTGTGCCTTGCTTGTATAGTATAAGGTGGGTATCTTATACAAACCTTACCCTTTAGACAATCTGCTTGTGGTAGATGGAGGCATTAGGCAAATGGAATCGCACATTCCCAGGTCCTTCAACAAAGTCAACTCGGAGGATGATGAATTGGAGATTGTGAATAGTAGGGAAAGATGATCCTTTGTATCTAATCTTGTTTGCCTTCATGAGGACATTGGGCCATGGCTAAAATTGCTTTGTAGAGCAACCTATGCAAATGGATTATTTCTATGAGTAGGAGGAAATGTGGGATGTTGCTGTCAATTCAGAAGAAACTTGAGAAGAAATGATACCCGACTTTTAAATATCCTGGGGTTGTTGGAGAACGATTAAATCCCCCGAGAAGGGAGGTATCCATCTTTGAGTTCAAATTAGGGTTTCCGTGCATAAAATTAGTATTAGTCATGGATTTATATTTGGGTAGTAAGATTCCAGAACACCCTAGTATATGGTAAACGAAGGTCAGAAGAATCAGAAGTTGTCATAGTTTTAGCTAAGCTCATAACATGTTAAGTTTATAAATTTGACAGAATGAAATGATTCAGCACATTTATAGACACATGCAAATTTCGCAGGAATAACATGAAGCATGATAAAAGCCATAAGACAATTTTGCATGAAATTCAGAATGACTGCATACCTGCAACTTCAAAATATGCAAATCAGCTTCAATTCGCTTTATTTTCATCTCAAACCCTGGTTCCCTACCTATTATCATACAACATAGGAGACAAACAATTCATCAGATAGACAAAGAAACAAGACAGCCACATTATAAATCATAAAAGAGTGATGAGCATAGTCTTCCCACATAAGATTAAATAAATCCTGCAATGCTCTTAGTGAAACTTAATGCCCAATAAAGACAAACTGAATCATTAAGGAGCGCATGACAAGAGGTATGATAAACTTTAGGAAGCCTAAAGCAGCATAATTGTTACTATGAGAAACAAAAAAGAACAAATAGCATATTGTTCTGCTTAAAAATATTCCCCCCAAAAAATTACACGTATATGATGAACACCTCAACCAGTAATTTGTAGTAGATTGTTGGGCATGTTTACTGAATTTTTTAACTGCCAGGTGAGCTGGCATGTCACTGAATTTTTTATAGCCAGTCAATTTGTCGAACTTTGGATCTTTTAAATATGTACAGTAAATTTTTCCAGTTCATGCGGACACCTTTTCGTGTTTCTTTTGGACTATATTTGTAGCATACAATATTGAGTTCCAGACATTATACAAGGGGATAGGAGCATAAGGGTTCATTTAGATCCTCTTTAGCAATCAATGCACTCTACAGTAATCTCAGGTTTTTATAGATGTTTATTCTCTAAAGAAAGAAAAGAATCAAAGCTAGCTGAGTGTACTCTATCTCGGAAGGGGGCATGTTGGATTTCCAAACTATTAATTGTCAAATGTAAGCAACTAAGCATAATTGAGCATATCCAGACCTTATATCCATCCAGCCCCAGTAGGAAATGGGCAGTTGAAGTAAATGATGTAATAGTATTTTAAAAAAAACAGAGAATACTATATCTCAAGATCCAAAGTACATGGAAAAACTTTCATGACTATCTTCAAACAAGGACTGAAATTTTACTTTAATTAACAAATGAATCTTTCTTTGGTTTCCAATTTTTTAGTATGACCAATCACAACTCATATAGCATGGGAAATATCACGACTGGATAACTCAAATTGTATGAGTGCAAGAAACAAATGAATTTGAGATTACAAACATTAAAATCCAAAATTTCAGATTATTGTATCCCATATGGGTCCTGAATTGATGTACAGGAACAAGATAATATATCAGAATAGTACCCTTTGCATAACAGTAGATGGTACAGAAACATCAATTATTACGACAGTGCTTGGACCTGACACATGTTTTTATAAATGACTGTTCTACCTTCACTTGTTAAAGATAAACACAATATCAATGTAAGTAATCCTTTAGAAAAGGGTAAGTAATCCTTTAGAAAAGGGAAATTTCTACTAACATCCCCAATAATTAGCAGAATTAAAACATATCCACAATAATTTTTTTCTCTTTTTTCTTTCTTTTTACTTGCATGTCACTTTTTTTGCTGTTCTTTTTCCCAAAATACCCCCACTTTGGAACTTAAGGTTCCAAACCAAGGTCATTTTTTCTGGCTGAGAGATTAGTTAGCAACTTGAGTTCCGAATCCATCTTTTCGTAATTGGGGCTGTTAGGCACTTGAAGTTCCAAATCACAACACGTGTTTTTGTTGAAGGTAAGAGTTAGTTCAAGACTTAAATTTGGGAACAACCCTACTAAGTTTTCTTTTAGGCCCAAAAGTAAAAGCATGTAACGTGCTCCTACAAGAGCACATTGGAATCTGTAAACTTAATCCCTTAAATAAAATAATTTAAAAAGAAAATACAAATTTATTTCTTTGAAATTAATCATTTGATGATTCTAAAGTGGATCTCAAAATTTTAGATAAAAAAATACATTTTACCCCAAGAACAAGTGCACAATGTGCACTTGGGGGTGCAACATGTAAAATAAAAAGTTAACCTATGGAGTGAAAAAATGCATCTAATGAGATAATGTCATCTCATAAATGAACTTGGTCACCCTTTTCATGTGTCAACCTTTTTTACTGTGCACTTCTCCCTCAGGTAAAATGCGTTTTTTATATCTAAAATTTTAGGATCAACTTTAGAATCACCAAATGATTATTTTCATTAAAAAAGTTTGTATTTTTTAGTTTTTATTTGAATATGCATTTTATTTGAGGGACTAAGTTTATAATGTGCTTCCTCAAGAGCACATTGTACCACTTTTCTTTTGGGTTTAAAATAAAAACACTAAGTAGGGTTGTCCAGAACTTCAATTTCCAAACCAAACCTTTAAGGAAAAAGCACGTGACCTGGTTCCGAACTTCAAATTCAAAACCCCATCACTTTCGTCCTTCTTTTCTTTTTTCTTTTTTTTCTTTTGAGTAAAGGACTGGTTTGGAAGCTCAACTACAACAGTCAATTTGGAAGATTCAAGTTCCGAACCAATATCTCAAGCCAAAAAATAAAAAAGACCTTGGTCCAAAACTTCAAGGTCCTAATTGGGGTATTTTGAAAAAAAAATTAAAAATCCAAAAAAAAGGGACATGCGCATAAAATAGAAAATAGTTGACGATATTTTTGGGTGAGGTTGGTAGCCCTCCTTGTACTATAGAAGTAAGGCGCGAGTCTAAATTTACTCGGAGATGTAGTTTCAGTGTGAGAAACCTTATGTTGGCTTGAAAATCTATTTTTATCCCTGACTTATGAAAATGTCATTGATTGAGCAGATCTACAAACACCTGAAAATAGACCTCCAAATAACATGTTACAAGATGCATTATTTTTATTTATTTTTAACATGTTGACATTGAAGATGCATTATTTTTAGGACTTAGAATTCCTTCTTTACTCCTATGCACACATCTCAAGGTTGAAATGATCAATTGGAGACTCTTCTAGAGGATTTTTGGGGCACACTTTACTTCAATAGTATAAGGTTGTGACCTTATATAAACTTTTTCCTTCTTTTATTTCCACAAATTATAGGGGATATTAGTGTAAATTTCCATTTAAAAAGCTGGCAGGTCAATATAGTGCTTTGGTGCCTTGAACTTCTGAAAGAACTGCATGATTTATGCAAGTGTTGAAATGATCCCCCAGATATTTCCCCAGAAAACAGAAAGCCCTAAAAAGGGCATGAGAAAGTAATAACCTGCAGCTGCTGCAATTTTAGAGAGATCCAAAAGACGTCTTCGATCTGTCAAAGATTGATCCCTCTTCTCAATGTCTGAATATTCTTCAGTTGCCGCAGCTGAATCGTCATCCTGTGAGAGAGCTAATGAATGTAGAGATTCTGCAGCAGAGGAGAAACGACCTAGGAATATCTCATGTAGCCACAACAAATCCCTGTGCCTGAGGAGAAAAGAACTAAGATCTTCCTGGAACTCTTCCCCAAGTCTCAGAAGCTTAGCATAGTGGTGATTCTTATAGCACTGCTCGAATACATAATTGCTAAAACGCCCTTGCTTCAGTCCCATGCTCTCATACTGCAATGAAGAAAACTCCCAACTGTAAATGCTAAAGAAAAATCAATAGAAGAAAGAGAATAGCTAAAGATTAATACCCTCCGGACAGATCTTTAGGGCCATAGGAAGCACACTCCAAGTTGAAAAACCACAGATAACAACATTTGCAAGCTGAACAAGTCACTAAATCGGGACAAACATTAAAGGAAAAATACATATTTTGGGGAAAGTAAATGTTACTTATAATGGATATTGGTGAATGTATAATGTATGTCACATATAGAAGAATGTTTTAATTACATTTATATAACAGATATCCATTTTAGTAAAGGCTTAAAGGCTAAATACCAAGAGAGTCCTTATGTGCACAATATATCATACTACAGAAAAACTATTTCTAATTACAGGTCATCATCTCCTTCCATACATGGTTAAGTTCGTTGCTGCATCTGGTTCGCTTAACTATACAATATTGCAAGCAATGTAGTACATGATAATACTGAATTCAATGGAAAAAAAAATACGACAATTCAAAAGAACGTGATGTATCCCCAATGTGCCAAACTTATGTAAAGCATTTGAAAATGTAGAACACAAGTTTTATTCTAACAGGTGAGTTTCTTCTTGGAAAAATAGATGGTCCACAACAAGGAATGAGTTGGGCGAAATTGTTGTTCTTCCAAAAGCAATATAGTATTTTCTTAAAAAGAGGCTGAAAAGAAATTCTGCTGACTAAATATCTGGGCAACATGGCCCATTTGGAATCAACAGAAATCATATCAAGAGATAACTTATCTTGATGCCAGACGACAAAAAGGATAAGTTAAAATGCTCATTAACAACAAAAAAAGAAGATGACAAAATGTTCACTAACGAAAACCTGAAATTATCATTTACAAACTCATTGCTTGGCAGTTCCCGTCCAATGGGTATTTATAGAAGAAAATTACCTCAGGTAAGGAAAAATTTACCAGCAGATTGAAAAATAAGAATTATGAGATGGGGGTTTCCAGCAAATGATTCATTGACACAAAAGCACCAGCATGAATGCAAGAGACATTTCAGGTGAATAACTTTTACAAGGACCACATAAGAATACCATTCAAGAGCAGAGAAGGATCAATGCTATCTCTTGTTGAGAAGTACTGCATTACAGTGTTAATGAAGAATGCACCCAATCAATAGAATTTCATTCATGAAACAATACAGAAAAACATTGTTTGTACATCAAAAGTCAATCTCAACAATCTCCCACCAATGTTTTGAAGAAAAAGAAACAAGCATCACCACTGTTACCCTTACGATAGGATATATTATCCCTTTAAATGTAAAATGACAAAATCTAAATAGTAATCCATGTTCAGAAACCAACGAGAACAGACAATACGTGCGTACCATTAGGCTTCGTAGAAACTCCATGTCATTGAGATCACAGCATATAGTCCACAGGGTTTTATAGCCTGCATGCCGCCTTGAGATGGTTACCAAAGGCCCAACAAGCTCTTTTAAAATGGCATCTTTTTGCTCAGATATTTTGCTACCACTTTCTATACCCTGCAAACATCACAAGGTAAAATGCATGCAAAATACAAGCTTCCAATAACAGGTAATACTAACATTTTAATTTCAATGGAAGCAAGTAATGATTTTAATTTCAATTGAAACACGCAATGCATATATTCTGAACAAAGTACTCTAAATGAATTTATAACTATGAAAACATAATACCAAGTAAACATATATCAATATAGAAAACAATGGGTAGTGCCTTCACAAATACAAGGTTGACCAGATGGGAGAGAGAGAAATTCAAAAGGCTCCCTTCATCTCTCAGGCTCTTTATTCAACAGGAAAAGCACATGCACAATGACCAGGTTCAGTTCCTATACATACTCTTAACTAGGTCCTGTTTAAGAAAATGAATTCATCCAATTACATGAAGAATAAAGATTTGCACATTCTAATTTATAAGAAGGAACACATACATCCTACATCTTTGTCACTCAATAAACACCATTTAGGAAGCACATGGAAGGCCATCCAGTGGTAAAATGTGTGGACGATCCTTGTTTGACAAAGCATTGAACTCATTTTTCCCAAAAGAATGGAGTGGAAACATTCTAAATGGCACTCAATACAATCTATTCGTTAAAAGAATGAATTGGGAGAAATTTACTTGGAATAAAGTGGAGGAATCTTCAAAAACAAATTGGGAGCAATCGATATATTCATAAATAGAGATGTGGTCCTATTCAATTGAACAAGAAGGTAAACGGAAAAAAGAAGACAGCAGCTCACTAAACATATGAGACAAGGGTTTACATTGACCCTCAAACTGGACAATATGTCTTAATTTCTTTGGGGATGTAGGATTAACTTTTCCACAAATGAGCAGAAAAAAAAAAGACATCCAAAGACATCAAATCCCCTTGTAGAACAGAAATTAGCCAGGCTGCCAGTTGACTTCTAACACAAAACCACAAGATAGATGTTGTCTAGGAAGATTGGAGACCTAATACTCTAGATGATCCGGTGTATAGTGAACCAATGCAATATTTTTGGAGCTTTCAGATGAAAACTTATTAACAGAATAGATGTAGTTATCCATTTGAGTAAGATAGAAGAATACCAGATAGTTGAGATTCCACTACTCATTGACAAGTCTATCGCATTCTAATAAGACCCCCAGTCCAACAAAAAAGTTCATATTCAGCTCAAGCAGTGAGTGCACCATCGTGTGTCTGTGAAGTGGACAAAAATCTAGAAATATTTCAGGGCCAAAGTCAAAAGTGAAATAGGCAACCTTGATGCTCAGGAGAAATCTTTGATGTTAAACTGAAATTTTACTTATTGTTTGAGAGCCAGAATTAGAATAGTTGCCAGCAATTACTCTAATGCCCATATAAATCATAGTTACCAAGATCGCCTTAGCTAGGATCTAACCTGCTCAAGGATGTTGCCCCAGCACTCCCAGTTAGGAATCTCCATGGGAACTCAATCCCCAACCTTTGGCATCGGCCAATCCAGATTGCCCGGTTCCTTGACCAACTTTGACTGGCCTGGTGCCCTGACTGACTTTGACTAGCACGGTTCCCAAACCGACTCTGACTAGCCCAGTCCCCTGACAGACTCTGACTCACCCAGTTCTCTGACAGTTTCGGGCGAGTACATATAAAATGGACTAGTTCCAAATTCCATCAAGAGATCGGGCTGGTCCCCACTGATTCCCAATCCGGGTCGGCGATTCCCAATCTGAATAGCCATTTTTTCTAGCATTCATTTTTATTAGCTAACTAAAAAATGAGAATATCTCCATACACCCTAATTTGGTGTATGATTTCTTAATAGACCTGCAAATTTGAAATCTATCTAGCAACATCAATTTTCCCAAAAGTCTTTCTACTAACCCCCAAAACCCATTGCACCACATTTTATACATATTTCCATCCTAAAAAAATTTCAAAATGGCACGGCCTCTCTTTCTCACTCTTGCTTTCCTCTTTTCCCTCTTCGTTGCTCACTCTCTCCTTTTTTGCACTTTTCCTCTCCATCACTCCCTCTCTCTTGTATACTCCCTCCCTCCTTCCAATCTCTCTCTCTCACACACATGCTCTCTCTATCTCTCTCCCTCACCCCTCCTCCTCCTCTCTCTCTCTCTCTCTCTCTCTCTCTCGCTCGCTCAATCCAACAGCCAAATTCCTCGATCTTACTCCTTTCCACTCAACGTTGGGAGAGGTTAAATTGCCAAACTAAATGGGTTGTAACCTTTCAAGCATCAATATCCAAAAAGGACCACAAAAGAAAGGGGTAAAATCCCATTGATTTCATTGTGTTTTTAAGGCAAGTAACAACCTCTAGCAATAGGAAAAGCCCTAGAGTGAAATAGCAAGAACAATGAAAGTGGGGTTTGGCGGTGGGCCTGTGTAAGTAATGGGAGTGCCTTGCCCATGTTTTACTTGGTTGAAACACACCCGGCTCAACAATGGGACCCAAACTCAAAATGACCCACCAGCTCTACAAGTCTGTAAATGACTGTGGGTCTTTTCTACCCTGTTTGGTTCCTACAAAATTTCATGTCCCTCACTCAGCTTACACACACGACACCAAATACGAGATCCGGCAGCAATGCAATACTGAAGGACTGTGCTGCATGCCATTTCATTCATCAGGGAATGTAACAAATTTTATCATTTCTAATTGTATGGCTGATATTTCTAATATTTTTCTTTCCATTTTCCTTTTCTTCAAGGGGGTGGCATTTAGTTTAGTCTCCGTATTCTTTAGTTGGTAAATGGTAAAAGATGAGCAATTGGGTCCCAACTCCTCCTCGCTTCCGTGCAAAGCCTCAGCTCTCTCTCTCTCTCTCTCTCTCTCTCTCTCTCTCTCTCTCTCTCTACTACTA